TTCGCCGTTGCTCATAGTTTTTTCTACATACTGGCACAACTGACCACCTCTACGTTAACTCTGATGGGCTGCCTTATAATCGGTAAACTCCGCCTTTGAAAGTAGGGTGTTGGTAGAGGGGCCACTTTTTTTTCCGATTGAGGAAATTTGTTATTAGCCAGGGACGGTGAAATCTGGAATTGCACATGTAACACGGTATTCGACGGCTTCCACTCGAATCCGCCAAAAAAAATCACACAATCACACAAAGAAATTTATTCCATAAAACACGGCCACTTTGGTATAGCAACTTTTCACTTAACTATAAAGATAAATAACTTATCAAGGCAACTATTACTCTTACGAACTGTGACTTGCTGAGTATAAAAGCCTCGGTGCTAAAAAATACCTATTTACAATGATTGACTGCAATATAAAAACTGGATGTAAAAACGTAATTCAATCGGTTAGCTGTTGAGTGTAAAAAAAACAATAAACGGCAGTGAAGAGCTAGTTTCCAAGTGAATTATCCGTACTGTTAATTGGTCCCCAACAAGGGCAAAGGTAGTAATCGAGTGCACTTAGACAGTATTTTAATAAAGCAACTGTCTACAACTATCACAAGAGAAACTGAAAAAAAAGAACGGACCAATGGTTGACTATGCAGCAATCCAAGAATTCATCTATATTTGGCTGCTGGGAAAACTTCCTTCTATACTGCTCTCGATCGCCTCAGCCTTGCCCACTCCTATTCCAAAAAATCGAAATACGGCTAAGGTCAGTTCTAGGCCGAAGAAGCAAGCGGCGTTAGCCGGGAATGCACGCAGCATCACCGGTGTGAAACCCTGAAAAATAGTAATGGTAAAATGAGCAAACCTGTTCGAATATATAACTTCTCACAAAACAGTAATAATCGCAATTAGGATGCAATAGGAATGTTCTTGGTAAAATATGGTGAGTGAACTGACTCAAGACAAATTTGGTGAAGGCAGTACGTAAACTGTTAAACTAACTAAACTAACGATGTGGTACTGGATTTTTTTAAGAGGTGAGTCACCTATGAAGTATGAAAAAATGGAACTCAAGAGGTCACAGTACGAAGGAGGGCACTTAGCGCAGTGTTAGTGGAAGGGAAGTGGCATAAAAATCTGATGCCGTTCAAAGGACAGCGAGCCAAACTTTGTCCATAGTAGGCTTTCGAAAGCAGAAGTAACAAGAAAAATTGGCGCAGCCGCGCCCCCGGTACTGATGTTTCTTTAGCCATAGATCCTAGCTATAGATCTTCGGCATTATCCGGACTCTATTAGTTCATCCGACGAGATCCTAGCAGACACAAAAAAAAGTTACTCGGACTACCATTCGCTATGACCATGCACAGTGAAGACGATGGTATGCAAGTACTATTATGTTTAATATTTCATCGTTTTCGTAATCTTACCTTAAAGAGCGCTTTTGGACCCTCCTCTCGCATCACCTCCTTGAAAACGCCTCGAATTCCATCGGGATATTTGCCTTCTGGAGCGGTTTGAAGACGCGATTTCAGCACATCCGCAGGAATACATACTGACCTGCAACAGGTGATGTGAAATAAGGCGAAACAAAAACTAATAAGGAAGCAAAGAAAGATATGACTGACGTATCCACAACCATTTAAAATGTATACTTGATCAGAAGAGAAACGGGCAAGTATTCCGAGGGGTGGAACATGGATAAAAATGATCAGTGATTCAAAAAAGAACAACATGCAAAGAAGAGGAAACAAAAAAATGTGGAGCATAAGTTCGAATCCCTCCTTGCCAAGTAAACCAGGAAGAAGAAAAACAAGGATTCCAACGAATCCTACGACAATGGCTGAACACCTATACTCATTCACTAAGCGATAGTAAGCGCGAAGACAACTGAAATCTCCGTCGCATCTCCATGCGCCTTGGGTTATTCTGCGTAGGGTGCTACCAAGAAGAACTTGGCTCCTTGTTCACTCAGAGAGGTGAATGCTAAAACAAAAAAAAAAAATAAAAAAAAAAAAAAAAAAAACAAAAATGTTATTTAAGTCTAATGCGTTATTCTCATTTATGCATTAGGACTTTTTGGCAGCATGACTTGGCTTACTGCTACGTGCTTACCGTGCCTCCAACGCGTGGCAAAAAAAGCTAGACCTAATAGTGGCTCCCTGGAACAAAGTGAATTGGCAAAGCAGTTTACGAAGGCAGAAACTAGAAGGTTTCAGGGAAAAACCTATGAAGTGTATTTGAAAAAAAAACACAAAAAACATACCAGTTTGCAATTCCAGCGAGTCCACCGGCTAGTAACGTGGAGCCAGGCGATAAAGTACGTTGAGCGCCCTCACCGGAAAACTTTTTCTTGAGGAACTCATATACCGACAAATACGCCGCGCTCGCTGGTATATCTGGAACCATTGGAAATTACAGTAAACATGTTTCGATAGTTTTATAAGAAGTGACCATAGAGAATAACATCTAAAGTGATAGTGAATCGTTAAGCTGTTTTGCCGAAAACCCTCGTACCACTCAAGCAACCTTAGGGGATGCTATGAAGTGAAGAGTAATTAACACCCCATCCAGCAGACTGTGTACACAATGACAGCTGCGCCTCTTGGCACTGCGCCATAGCGAAATGTTGTCATTCTAACTTAATTTAGAAACTATGCAGAAGGACATTGGCGTCTGACTAACTGCGAATGTGCTATCACATAAATAAAATAAATCATCAGTCTGCCTACCAAGTTTGGTGATATCCTGGATTTCAAGCTTAGCAAAAGAGAACTATGAAAAACAGAAAAAAAAACTCGAAAATAACCGATAAATCTCGAAATTCCGCCTACCTCGCAGCAGTGTCGCACCCGTTCCTCTGTAAAGACTGGTGAGTCCACCTTGCTTATACAGCTTCTTTACAACATCCAAAGGACCATCATAATGCACACCCGACGGTGCATGACCATGAGATTGCACCTTTAAAAAAAGAATACTCAATAAAAATAAACACTACTGCACTACTACAACCCCAAGTTGGGTCAAAAAATTTCTGAAGGTTAGGCCTCTAGAGGGAATTCGGTTCCCTGTTCACGAGTATGGAATATGACATTACGCTCGCGCCACATTGCGCCAGTTGGCGCTAATTTGGTTCCGGACTGCGATGGACTGGCACCACTTGGCGACACTGCTAAAACGACGTCCTATTTGTAATCAGATGTATAGGCACCACCTTTTCCTCCAGCAAACTGATGGAAAAAGTGTTGCGTAAAACTTGAGCGAACTGGTACCAAATGGCGCCAACGTAAAAAGCATATCATATTCATGATCAAGGCACTGAATAACCCCTAGAGGCGAAGTTATAGAAAGACTTTGTATCCTTAATGGGCGTGTAGTAGCGCAATATCGCCAACAAACCCGTAATAAAACTTCCAAAACAGCAGCTTACTTACCTGCAACAGACATTTGATCCGTTCTCCTGGTACCATAACGATGGTAGTGAACACACCAGCCAATGCACCGCTGTTCATATTCTGGATGAATGTCATCTCCTGATCTGAAAACAAGATATCTAGTTTCATATAGTTTTGGATATAAAAAAGCGGAATGATATTGAGATCACCTGGATGCGTCGTCTGAAGATGTCTACCAACAGCACAACCGGCGAAGAACACCGCAAATAAGGGACTTACTCCAGCAAGTGGAGCGGCCATTCCCTGAAATGAACCTTATAACACACCACTCCAAAGCACATCAGTTTTGATTTATAAGATTGTCGTTGTCGCAAAACAAATATTAGCAAGAACGCGAAAGCGGAGATGAGGGTGAATGACAGCGAGACCTCCCAAGCAGTATAACAGCGACTTAGAATCCATTCAGGAGCGCAAGATAGGCAGGCTCACCTTATACAACGCGAAGAAACCTTCTTTGGCGATTGTCTGCTTCACACAATCCAACGCCCCTCTGAACATCGGTGGCTCTCCTGGCTTTGGTCGAGGCATTGTCTGTAGCGGACCTTGAATTGCACGATAATCGAAGCCCTTAATAAAAAAGGATAAGCATTTGCCGTTGATCAATCCCTTTTTGGGATGCGGCACGCATTCTACTTCCATTTGTACATTCGTAGTGGCGTTTGAATGCGATGTGGCCTATACAATGACTTGCGGGGGCCAGCCGATGTACAAGTCAGTGTTTTATCCTCCCAGACAAGTCTGGTACCAATTAACCGACCCCGGAGGGATGGAAGGCTTGGTTGGCCCGGGCGACTCACGACCCAGGATTTGATCCCCGGACCGCTCGCGTGGTAAGCGTGCCACTTGTCACACTACACTTCCGCCGCCAAAGCTTTATCCAAAGCCCTAATGAACCTAGTCAATGTCATATCTCATCTCTACACTATTGCTTCAACGGCTAACGCAGCTGGGGGACACTTCACTGTCACCTGTATAAAACACTGTCGA